CTACTAGCAGACTACACAAAGACTTAAACGCCTCGTATTTTACGTTAAACACTAAGTTGGACAATTCTTCTTTATTTCACGATATACTGCATTTATATACTATTCCTCAATAGTTCATGAGTCATAGTTAATACAATTAACATTAGAATCATTTACTGAATTAGATATTAATTTTAGCTACTGCTCTCTTAATGCAGACAACAGTATTTACGAACATAGACATGTAATAACTAATACAGAATAGTCAGATTACGATATGTTCTATCACGGAACATTTCCATGATAATTTACAGTCTATCATAAGTAAATTACAATCACAATGATTCGAACTGTAAGCAGATGATTTGCATTCCCTATTATAACTATTATAATTTCAGTATGTGTATAAGTGTCACTGTCATAAAAAGTCAGTGCTATATTAAAATACAGTATATCCAAATTAGAAGTTAACTAAATAAGGATAGTCTAACAGAATTATCCTAACATAGTTATTTCTACTGTAATACAGTATTTAACACTGTAACAGATACAGATTAGCTTTAACCTGTATCCAAATTCGAGACCCTTTATTTATTCTTACTTATAAGCAGTCTTTTGTAGCTTTCATCATCAATTAAGTGACACTGCATAAAGTATAAAAATTTATGTTATTATAGCCTTAAATTTTAAGCTAAGTCACTTTGACTACAGTTAAACGCAGAGATTTCAGTAATACCATGTAATTTTATATTGCGATAAATTATTATAATATATTAATAAATTGAAATGATTTGTACGGAAATTGTAGCTGATATTAATAAGCAACTTAATGACCGAGTATAAGCTTGTAATCTCTGGATGTTTATATTAGCTAACGCGCAAAAATGAAGAGCAGAATTTGTCTTTTCGAAAAAAGGATGAGTATTAGAGATACCCTTTAGTCACCTAATAATTTAAAGTTTAATAGTGACTATATAGAATATTGCTATAAATGACTATAAATGCGATAATTATATCGAATAGTGATTGAATAACTTTAAATTTAGTTTTCGTAATAACGATATACTGACAAAACCTATATAAGCAAATAAACTATAACATGAATAGCGGTTGATGTGATTTCAATTATACCAAATCGTTAGATAAAATGTGAAGCATGGTTCTATTCACCTTTTATCGCTCTTCCATCGCAAGTAATAAAAGACAGATACCAAAATAATTACTATCACAAGAGCTGCAAATCCAATTATCATACCGGCAATTATGTTAGCTAAGAGAGAATTAAAGAAATAGTTTTATTAGTTAAGTTAACTTGACTAAAAAAATCTGTTCGAAAGTCTGAATTTACAGCTTTAATAAACTGTTATCGACAATCTAAAAATAACGGATTATTGCCAGAATATTAGATAAAAGATAGTTTCATCCAATTCACATTCATTCCGAGTACTGCCACTAAATCTCAGAATACTGATACTAGGCTAACTAACACGTAATAACTGGCTTGCGTGTACCACAGTCACGATCGACAAAGCCACTAGGACACCTATATTTCGAAAATTTCCAGTTTAAAAGTTTTATAAAGAGTAGTTTATACGTCACGTATAAGTCAAAGTTTAAATCGAGTTAAAAAAATTAATGGCCGTAAGTAATTTGAAAAATCTCAAAAACTGCAAACATTGCGAAAAATTCCGAGGGCAAAGTCAGCTTAAAATATTGTGTTTGTTAAGCTAATTGATTATGAAAGCTTCTTCCTTGAACTTACAAACAGTAAGGTTTCTGCTTTTTATCAAGCCTACAATATCCACCACCATTCTTGCAAGCTAATTGGCACTCTGAAAGAAAAATATTAGGATTTAGAAACAGTTCGAAACTGACGTCTAGAAACCTGCATTAGCAACTATTTCAAACTAAAATCTTTTTTATCATCCTTTCAGTAATATTTAAAAATTGCAATATGTCACGTTGCTAAACATTGTAATAGTAGAGTACAGATTAAGCATTTGTGTCACGGTAGATTTCTTTCTATCTAGGCTACAATGGCTAAGTTTTTGTGATTGACTAGTAAAAGCGGTCGATTGCTTACTATTAATTGTCTTTTACATTTTTATGAGTAGCAGTGCGGTTCATCGTGAATAGTGGGAATAATTTAATATTAGCCTAAAGTTTTAAAGTTTGCGCGCGTAACAGTAGTCTAGGTGAGTGGCTTTATACCTAAACTAGAGTAATAATTGACAGTAACAATTTAGAAGGGCAGAATACTTTACTTTATCCTGAGTCAGAAGAGTAGTCTGTGAAATTATATCAGCTAGTTATGTGCTGTTCCTGATATTATGGAAATACAAGATTCATGAGTATCCTGCACCGATTAGGAAGTTCTTTAAATAGTGAAAAATAATTTATTCGCTATTTTAGAAAATAACATAGTTTCGTCAACAGTAAATTTATCGATCGCATAGGTATTATCATGCAGGTAAGTACAGTGCTTGGGAAATTACTGTAGGAGCATTATTCACTTTAGGCCAAGAATTTAGAAGGCTTAACTTACTCGTGCAGTTATGTTGGTAATAGCTGCCGTTACTTGTTTGCTGGTCACACTTGCAATAATAGGATCCGTTTGTATTAATACATATTTGATGCGGCAATGAACATAGCTGCGAGTTGTTGCATTCATTAATATCTATAAAATGGCAGAAATAATCAAATTATCCATCAAACTGATTTCATTAGCTCGGATATATCCTTAGTTGATCGTTAATTATATTTGAAGAGGTTGTGTGGGATAAAGAGCTTTACTCATGTATCCTTTTTAGCAGCTGCGAAACAATATACGTGCGTAAAATTAAAATATGAATATGTACCATATATTCGCATAATCGAACAAATAATGTTAGTTATAAAATGATTAAGAATAATAAAAATAAATCAAATCAGATCATGAATGTAAGTGAAATCTGTCAAGGTGTTATGTTAAGACTATTTTTTGAAATTTTTTTCCTTGATAGACATTACATTTTGACCTACGTACAACATCTACAGTTAGATATTTGTTAGTAGTCATAATATTTAGAAAGTCAGAATTGGTAGTATTGCGTTTTATATACTGTACTATCTGCGTTTTAAATTCGTTTAATTCTAGCATACTGTATGATACTTATATCCAATATGGCGAAAACAATATATAGAATTAAGGTAAATTGACCTGGCCTTAAGCTAATATTAATAAAGTAATGTATAATTTTTTATTATTTTTGAGGGAGTACATCATTTTAATTGCGATTAAATGGTTTTATATATTTTCCGTCATTTTAATCTAGCGATTAAGACTTAGAATCAAAATTTGATCGTTTTGATAAATATTTAAAGTGTCTAAAAATGTATTAAATTCACGATTCGAATCACACTCAGCAGAATAAATATAATTAAACTTTGAATTGTATCAAGACCTGAGTTGCTTAAGGTTAATAAATTATGAACAACTGCTATTATATCTTTAAATTATTCTCAATTGATTGAAATAAAAATAATGCTGAACTAATTTGCAATTCAAAGGAAATAAACTTTGTTTTAATCTGTTCTTAACTTCCTTCCTAAGGAAGGAAGCCCGATGAATAAGAAATTTCATTGATTTATGCGTTTATACATGACTTCTTTTGACGAGATAGAAATATTAAGTTAACTGTAAGATTTATGGATGTATGCTTTAACAAAGGATGAAATATCTAATTATACTTTTAAATGAGTGATGCCTTGAAGTCAACAAATTTCAAAGTATCAGGAGCATCAAGGAAAGTTTCCAATAGCACTGAATCACTGAAAGTTTTTGCTTTACGGACCAAGATAATTAATTATAACATTGACGTTGATAGCTGAAATCACAAGATATTAATGCATGCCAAATATTATTTTAAGAGCTCTTGTTGCGACAGTCAACATACTTCAAATGATTTGAATTTGGCTCAGAAAAAATAATATCAATTGTCTATTGTATGAATTTTTATATCAATGGCCTGGTTTCTATGTGTATTATATCAATACGAAAAGCCATTTAATATAATAAGCAACTCGTATCTTCTACTTTATCTATTTATAGATACTTTGAAAAACTTAACAAAACTTAAGAATTAGTATATTATATCGGTATCATAAATTTTTTCAATAACTAAGCCACTAACAATTACGGGTATTTAAGGTCAAAATTTTCTGTTTCGATAATTAAAAAAGACGTTTACATTAAGAAGATTTCTTTGAAGCTAATAGTTAATCCAATGGGTATTATATAAGAAAGCTAACAAAAATGAATAAGTTACAAAATTTTTAAGATACGGAAATAAGTGGCAAATTCACGTAGCGTGAGATCCATTTTGAATCAGTGACTGTAGCTTTGATTAGAATTTGCATGAATTAAAAATCTTAAGCGTGGTATAAAACATAAGTCACGGTTCAGGTACGAGATAAATTTATAGTTATTATTTGATATTACTCAGAGGTAATATCATATTCTGAAAAATGGCTAACCTTGACAAGAAAATCCATCGCCATCAAATCCATCAAGGCATTGACAAGCCAGATAAAATGTCTCATTTTCCGTGCGATTTAAGCAAGTTGCGAAGGAACTACAATTTAGTCCAACTTTTCTGCATTCACTTAAAGGGACTATAGCTTCTACATTATGGATAATTTAAAGCTATTACTGTTTAATTTCTCATAAATACTTCAGCAATTTCTTTAAAGTATAGATACGTAGGAATGTTACGCAATAGTTTGATTTGCTTTATGATTTAAATTATTGTAGCTAGGCCATAGCAAT